TAGAATCAGAAAACACCCAGGACTTGAGAAGCACTGAGCTGCCCTGCACAGCTTACCCCGCCAACCTTATACACTCACAGAGGAGGCAACAGGAGAGATGAGCTATGGTGATTCACGCAGAGCCATTCAATTGCTTGTTTGTCTGTTTGTTTTATGTACTTGGTACAGAGTGTCACTCTGCAGCTTGGGCCTGCAGCGACCTTCCTGTTTTCAGCCTCCCCGGTGCTAGGACGACAGGTGTGCACCACCACAGCCGGTCTCTGTTCAATTGTTGAGTTAGACAACTGAACCTCAGATCTATGGGCTCCAAGGCTGGCTGCACTTCGGCATTCTCACAAATCACTTCTGTTCACTTAAAAGAATATTAAGACTTTAGAGTTCAAGGCTTCACTGATTTATACCATTCCACAATGAGTAAGCGAATTAAAATTTTCATGTCTTTCTCTGTACTTGCTCAGTAAAGATAGATTATACTTGGGCTCTTGCTTCTGAAAAGAAGAGGAGAAAACAGGGGCCTAGAGATGCATAGACAGCACTGTAGTTCTTGGGAGGCTGCACAGCGAGGGGGACAAGGCCAGGCCCTGGCCCCTGAGGCACACTGACCAACTACACAACCTTCAGTAAGTCACCTCTCGATGCTTCAACCCACTGTACTCTCTGAGGAAAGTCTTTCCAAATCTCACATTATTTTTCATGTCTATTTGATTCATGAGGGAGTTCCTGATGTCCTGTAGAAAATTAAATTAAATTAAATTAAATTAAATTAAAAAAGAAAAGTTGAATCCTTGGGGCCGGGGAGATGGCTCAGTGGATGAAGCGCTTCCCTGGCAAGCGCAAGGGCCTGAGTTCAATCCCTGGTTCCACCAAAAAAAAAAAAAAAAGAAAGAAAGAAAGAAAAAGAAAAGTTGGAGGCTTCACAATGGCTGAAACACAGAAGGCAAAACAATTGATACTGAACAGTCACCAGGTCCCACGGGCTCATCTGCGTCCGGATGACAGTGAGAATGTATTTAGTTGGTTTTAGTGCATTATTTAAAACACTAATACTCGCTTTCCACTGCTACAGGAGTTTGAGTACTATTTCATTTATCACATCCGCGTTCATGATCACCTTCAGATGAATCATAAATTGCCTTTCCCTTTACCGGCTCACGTTCTCTGTTGGATTTGCGACCTTACTCTGCATTGCCCTGGATTACATTATAAATCAGAAAATGCACATCTGCTGCAGCAGCAGCAAGTTCTTCTTCCACTAACGCAGCTCTCAGAGCAGCTGCAGCTTCAGGGGCTGCACAGAACTTTGTGTCCTGGCCCCAACTCACAAGTGCTTTCTCCAGGTCTAGTACCAGGAAGGACACATTACTCAGAAAGACAAGGCGGAAGCCAAATGGCTGTGGTGAGGACGAGTCCGCTGTGCTTAGGTTGCATGAAAACACTCACTTCTAATTAAGGGCCATGAAGAGCCCTCGCAGAGAGACAGCCATCCTCATTGCCCATATGCAACATACCAGCTACACGGACAAATGAATTCACCTGAAAGGAAAATGTCGTGACCTGAACTCTGTCCTCCCAAAACACATACTTAGAAGCCATCATGTCTGATGCGCCTGTATGTGAAGATTGGGCTTTTCAGAAGGTAATCCAATGAGATCCCAATGCAATAACACCAGGGACCTTAAAAGAATATTAGGGGTCAACACACGCCTCTCTTAACCCACACTCAGGCATAGAGGAAAGGCCCCACGGGCCACAGTGAGAAGGTACCACCTGCACGCCCAGGAGGGAGGACCCACCAGGAACCAACTCTACCGGCGCCATCATGGACTGCCGCGCCTCCAGACCCGTGGGAACACAAACGTGCTGCCTAGTCCTCACGTGCATGGCATTTTCTAACAGCTCAGCAGACTGTTTGCTGAGCGGGTTATCTCACTAAAACTCTGGAAAGAGCACTAACAATGCTGTCTCATTATGAAAAGTAGCTGCTTTTCATAGTACAAATTGTTAAATTTCTTTTTTGTTGTTGTTGGGGTTTTTTTGGCAGAATCGGGGATTGAACTCAGACCCTTGCCCTTGCCAGGGAAGTGCTTATTCCACTGAGCTATCTCCCCAGGCCTTTAAAGGCTTTCTTGCTTTTTTTTTTTTTTTTTTTTTTTTTGGTGGAACTGGGGATTGAATTTAGGCCCTTGCGCTTGCCAGGGAAGCT